TGCATTTCCTTCCCTTATTTTACTTATAACTGCTAGAAGAAATATGAACTTAAAATACACAAACATGCAGTCCTCAGGATGCTTTCTTGATACAAATAATATCTAGATATCCTGGTCCCCATAGGGTGTCATAAATGTTTAAAATTTTGCCTATCTGTGTTGAAACTATTTATCCAATGAACATCAGCCCAAAAGGCAACAGATCCACAGCATCTTCCTTAATTTTCTAGCAGAATTGCTGCCTCTTCTTGTCTCTCTCAACACTGTATGTTGCCTCCCCTCAGACCCACTTCACATTGTACGTTTTTGTGAAGTGTGGGTGTGTGTGCATGCACATGTCAAAAACATACTTTATGCTACCCACTGGAGGTTCAAGAGAGCACGGTTCTTCTTCTACCTTTGTCTCTTCTAATTATCCAGCACAGTGATTTATACTCAACAAATACTTTCTGTGAATGAATCAGTGAATGAAATGTAGAAGAGACGTGCAGAAGGGCAGATAGTATCTGAATCCTGGAGTCTTTGTATGCCAGCCCAAATAGCCTGGAATGTATTCAGTGTCTATTCAGAAACCACAGAAAATGTCTGAGCTAAAGAGTGGAGAGATGAGAACTGAGGAAGGGAGACGCAGTAATGAGTCAAGGACAAGACCTAGGTAGGAAGTGATACAGGCTCAAACAATTCTTGGGAGTTATAGACCTCAATTTTATAGTAGAGTTTTAGTTTCTTTTAAAATTAAGTTTTAGACAGTAGGCCTGAACTCATGTGGTGTTTTGGTTTTAGTTTTCCTACTCATAGTAGAAAAGTTAGAAAATATAGAGAAACAAGACAACAATCCTCAGAAATCCTACCATGCAGAGAAGTTCACCATTAGTTACCCTTTTGGTGTAAATCTCTTCACACATTTTCCTATGGCACATATATGCATTTAAAAATGTGTAATGAATATATGAAATTTTATTTATATATTTTCTTGTTATATAATATAATCATATATATGTTTGTTATACGGGCTTTTGTGTTAGATAAAAAATACCAAATGTCTTAACATTTTATCTTGAGGACTTGGCACAGAACAAGTGTTCTATATATTTATCAAATGATTAAATGAATGGCAATTATCCATTGTCATTTCCCTTTATGTAGAGATTTTAATACTTTTGCTCATTTATAAAGCAAATAATTAAAGCTTATAGCTCTAATGTTTTTATATCTAATGCATTTCTTTTGTTTTAGATTATTCTAGAAGAAATATAAATTTAAAATAAACATGAAATCTTTGGGGTTTCTTATTGATGCAAATAATACCCAGGCATCCTCTTAAGCAGTGATTTATAAATATGTCAATGATTTATCTAGAATTAGTAATCTTTGGAACATCTGAACATTTGAATTATTTGATCAAAAGTTTTATTCACTCAGAAAACAATTTCTTCCCTTCCCAGATTCCAAGGAGGAGAAAAGCAAAATAATGTTGGGAATGTTAATTCATTTGACAATCTGATCTGTGTTTTATTCATACAGAGTATCTCTTGGTTAGTACCCCATTGTGTACTCAGTGCCTGTACTTGGTACTCAGAATACTCAGGGCACTTATTGCCTAACCCAGTGCCTGGCACAAGGTGGCACAATAAGTATTTTTCAAATGAATAAATACGAATATAGTGAACATAGACATAGTAATATCTTTTAATGAAAGGATATTTTCATTCATTTTTCAAGTGATGTGAACATTTACTAAATGTTAGGCACTTATTTATCAATAATACTGGGTCCAGGTTGACACAGGAAAAATCCACACTTAATACAATAACTTATATTTAATGAATGGTATTTTTTTTTTCCTTTAGAGTGATGACTTCACTCTGGGGAATAGCAAGGCCATATCCCTGGGTTTCATTTATACTGCCTTTCCTTTGCCCAGAGGAAAGGAATTGTTAACAAACAAATACAAGAGTACTGACAGCTCAGGTCATGCTCAACTTTATATGTCTTACAGAGTGTCCTGAACAGTAAGAATTCAAAAATCAGATAAATCAATGTCTTTTCTTAGGTCAAAGGCTGTTGTAAGAACCACACTCTTCCAGTAGATGGCAGTATTTTCATTCGCCAACCTAAGTGTTTTGGGGTTTTTCTTTTTTTTCTTTTGTTTTGTTTTTAGTTTTACTATACCTTTAGTAAGTTGCAGGTGAAAACACATGTTAATGAAATTTCTGTTTCTTTCACTTTCTTTTAAAAGAAATTCACTCTTGGGAGCTTCCAAAAGCCCTGTAAGAACATCTGCTTTTCCTACAATTTATAGCAAGATATATACTGAAGTTGACCATACTCTCTAATCCTCCCTATTTCCTGATATGTTATTACTAAGAATTAGCTAATTGATAGTAATCTCTTGGACAAAATCTATCAAGCCTTCCTGCCTCTACAGTAACAAAATAAAACAAAAATAAAACACTGACTCCAGGTTTCTTGTTTTCTAAATAGGGCAAAATATTCATTAAATTATGCGGATACTTTACCTGTATGGTTAATAATTAACTTTTTAAAAAATCCACATTTTTGCAGCTCGACAAGACCTTTCAAAAACCCTAACAGATGGTTAGGTGCTGTCACGTGTCTGAAACGACTTATACGCCGCAGAAACTAAATTTGAGGAGGAAGGGAAGAAAACATTGAAATTCCAGGGACATATGCTGGAGTTGGAAAACAAGAGCGTTAATTAGTGGAATAATATCTCAGATACTTTCTCTTCAAAACAGTGGATTAGCAGGAGTAGGAAAGGCTGGTCTGAAGCACACGTTTCATTGCCTTCTCAGAATTACTCCTGTATAAACAAAGCCTCAAGTTGCTGGAGGGAGCAGTGCTTCCTCTGAAATCACGGAGATAGACCAGATTTAGTCATCAAGTCCTCCTTGCAATTATTCAACCCATATCAGGGGGTACAGAGGTTTTTAGGGTTTAGGGTATTTTTAACCAAACCTTTACTTGCAAGACTATCAGGCACTTTCGCAGCCCACCCTGCACCACTCAGCCTCGGCGCCGCGCCCTCCTCGCCTCTCTCGCGGCAAGGACCTGAAGCCCCCGTGTGGCCGCTGCCCTGCGTACTCTCCAGATCCAGGTGAGGGTTGTGAGGCCTGGCGACGCCTGAGCGCCGACAGGTGGCCTCGCCCCGCCTCTTTGTCGCCCAGGGCGGCGCTCGCCTACGCTCCAGGCCCGAAGCCGCAGCCCGCGCGCCAGGCACGGCTCCCCCGACCGGTCTCAGGAGTTGGGCCGCCTCCCCGGGGAAGAATGGGACTCAGCCAGGCACCGGGCCGGCCTCTAGGAGCCTGCGCCAGAGGAAAGGGCATCTGGCACCCGACCCGGGCCAGGCCCTTGGACTAGGGCGGCACGGAGCCCAGCGCCTGGGCACGTCCAACCCTGTGCATTGCCCCTCAGCCTCTTGAACCCTTCGCCTCCACGATCCCCGGAAACCATCCCAGCATCTACTGCAGTGACCTCGGGTCTCACCGCCCGCGGGCCACACAGCTCGGCCACCCCCGGGCCCCAGAAGGGCCGAGGGTCACCCGAGCTGACGAACCACATTCCCAAGGACGAGCAGCGGGTGGCAGCACCGCCCCCGCACGAGTGCCCTCGGGTCCCTTTCTGTCGGGGCTCCAGTGGCTTGAGTGTCCCGGCCCCTCCAGAATACGCAGGCGGCCGCGGGAAGAAATTCACCCGGATCCATCCTCTTCCCCGAACTTCTTCGCTCCTCTCCGAGGTTCCTTCTACCCGACCCCTCTGCGCCACCAGCTCCTCCCACTCCGCTCCCCTCCCCTTTTTCTGGTCCCCACTTAGGAATCCGTCCCCCCTCCCTGCGCCGGGTCCGGGGTTCTTCCCCCCGGCTCCCCCCGCGTGCCGTCGCCGCCGCCCGGGTTCCTCTCCCCCCGCTCGGGCGCTCCCTGCCAAGCCCATGATGTAATGGTGTATGTTAATCAGTAGCATGTGGGGAGCTCCGGCTCGGGCGACTCAGTCCTCCGCGAGCCGACACTGGAGGCAGCAGCAGCAGCGGCTGCGGCGGCCCGGACTCGAAGCGCCGCACTCTCCCCGCGCCGCCCGCCCCGACGGCATGGCCGGCGGCCCGCGCTCCGGGCGCCCCCAACCCCGCTGAGAGCCGCCGCGGTCCCGGACCCGCGCAAGGGCCCCCGTGCCGCCGGGATGAGCCGCGCCGAGGTGAGCGCTCCCTCCCTACGGCCCTCGGCGGGGGACCCGCCGGTCACTGGGGTCCCCTCCCCGGGGGCTTCCCCCTCCGCCCGAGAAGTTCTGGGAGTCGGAAACAGCGTGTTGTTGGAAGCGAGTCGCCCCTTGAAGGCTGAGCCGCTGTGCTCTTCTCCCCGCCGGCGGCGGCCACCAGAACCGAGATGGGACTGGGGGAACCCCCGCAGCCGAACTTTCTTCTTTGCTGTCTTTGGGGGGCGTGTGCCTGCGGCGTCGATTCGCATTCCCCGCGAGGCCGCCCCGCCTGCCGAAGGGGGTAGCGCTGCGGACCCCGGCAGTCCCTGCGCGCGGCGTGTGCCCGGGGCTGTGCCACCCTCGGCCTGCGACGCGCGGGCGAGGCGCCGGGCCGGACAGACCCGCCCGTAGGCGGCGGCGGCAGGATGCCTGCCACACACGCGCGCACACACACGCACACGCGCGCGCACACTGACCACTCCGGCCGGAGCAGGCCCTGGGAGACCTCCCGGGTGGGCTGGCGCGGCGTGGTGCGGGGGAGCCGGGGCTCTGGGTTGCGCCGCCGCCCGCTGGGCGCGGAGCTTTGGGTGGGGAGAGTTTATTTTTGTCTCGAGCTGCTGCCGCGGCTGCTCACGGCCTAAATCCAGAGGGGCGCCTGGCGGTGGAGATGCTGGCTGTTGCTGTAGATGGAGCTGCAGCCACTCGGCTGCTTCTCTGGGAGGAGGAGGAGGAGTAAGAGGAGGAGGAAGGAACTCGGGCTGCCGCTGCCTCCGCCTCTGCTTTGCATTAGCTCCCACCCCCACCCCCGCGCCCCTTCGCAGCCGCATTGCAAGTTTTCTGCGCGGGGAAGATCTGTTGCTGGTGCTGGCGTTCGCAGGCACGGAGCCCGAGGCCACCCCGGGCGGGGCGTGAGGGGAGCACCAGCCGTTGGCAGCGGCAGCAACAGGAAGACGCGGGGTCTCCTCCCGCACCTGGGAAGCAGGCTTTTCGCTATTCCCCAGCCGGGAATAGCCCATCTCCCGCATCGGGTGCGGAGGGGGCGGCCAGATTTCGGGGAACCCAACCTTCCGCGGGACGCCCCCACCCCTGGCCCCCTCTGATGCCCTCGTCCCCCAGGGCGCGCTCCTCCGCTGGCCGAGGTCTCACTGCAGCTCTTTTTCTCCTTCCAGTGGTGATCGCCGCTCGGGAATGCGGGCGTAAAGGGTCCGAGCTGCCGCCCAGTGGGGAGGAGACCCCAGGACGCCGGAAATCACCATCCCGAAGCTGCAAGAAGGGGGGAGACAGCATTCTTCATTCAGTTGTGTGCCTTGTGGGGGATTTTTAAAAAGTCGTTATTTTTTTTAAAGAAACATTTCCGTGCTACTGTCTGTCATCGTCTCTGGGGAAATCAGCCAGAACCACCGGAACGTAACTGAAACCAGACGAGAGAGGCGGGAGCCCAGGCAGTACCTGCAGCGTCCGGGCACCAGAGCCACCTTGGAACGGGAACGCGTCTCCGGCTGCGGGGCTGCGGCTCCGCCAAACTTTGGGGCAGGCGGGGCGGTCTGGGGCGCCCAGGGGGCTCTGTAGACCGAGGGCGGCCCCCTAACCATGATGTTTCGCGACCAGGTCGGGGTGCTGGCGGGCTGGTTTAAGGGCTGGAACGAGTGCGAGCAGACTGTTGCGCTGCTGTCGCTGCTCAAGCGCGTGAGCCAGACCCAGGCCCGCTTCCTCCAGCTCTGCCTGGAGCACTCGCTGGCCGACTGCGCCGAGCTGCACGTCCTCGAACGCGAGGCCAACAGCCCCGGTAAGTGCGCGGCCGCCACCGTCCCGCCCGCCCCTGGCTTCCCTGCCTTGGGCCAGGCCGGGGCCCGCCCCCGCCAGCCGCTCCGCCAGGACCCGGACTGCGCGGCCCCCGAGGCCCTCGCAATCCGCTCCCTCCTTTACCCCCCCTCCCCGCCCACTTACCTCCGCCGGCCGCTTTGGGGTTTTGCCCACTGTGAACTCCATCAGCCCCTTCCGTGTGGTAGCTACGGTAGCATGAATGATTGATTTTTCTCTCATGCAGTTCCTGGGAAATAAGTAAGTCAGGTCACGTAGAGTCTGGATTTTCTGGGTGTGTGTGTTTTTTCCTTCCTCCTTCTTCTTTTGGGCAACGTGGCTCGCTGGATTTCAGCAACACATGATAGATGCCCGGGACTGCCCTTCAGAAGCCAAGCTTGGATAAGACTGTGTGGGGAGTACATGAAAATCCAATTTTATTATTCGGTTTTCCCCACGGATATTCTGGTTTTAGAGCTTCGTCTTCAGAATAATATGCAGGTGACGCTACAGACTAGTAAAATGACATTTGCAGTATGTGTATTATGGGGTTAAGCTTAGCGCTCGTGACATTATCCATATTGATACAGATCTTGTAGAAAGGGTCTTGGAGAAAGGACAGGCATGAAGTGGGTTCCCTAATGCTTCTCGTCAGGAAACTTTACTGAATAGAACAGAATCGTTTCATATTACCCTGCTAGTATTTACAGACACCTCAACTAGTATGGAAAGTGAATATAGTCGAAAGGTCCAGCAGTTTCCTATTTGCTAGCGTGGGTGGTGACAGACTGAAATTATATCCTGGAGGGTAGGAGGAGGCTGGGGGATGGGGGAAAAGTCTGATGGTTGTGATTTTGGATAGGGGAAATTCTTTAGTTCATGCGGCTGCAGGAGGGTGAACAGAGCCCCCAGTGTTTATGCAGAGAAAAGAATGCAGGGTCCTCTTCCAGCTGTTCCACGTTGAAGCTGCGAGCCTGCAAAGTTCAGCAGAGGTCTGGGCTGCCATTTGATGACAAGGTCCAGTCCAGGGCAGTGGGGCCTGGGAGACACTAAAGTGAGTGTGCCTTCAGAGCAGCAAGAAGCGAGCCGGCCTACTCATTCCTCCTCCCTAGTATGGTGTGCACGATGGTGAAAACACTAGAATGGGATGCTTCCATATATAGAATCATAGGGTGGAAGTGACCGCTGGAAATCTTCACAGTTCTTTTCCTGACCAGACAGGACTGCACCCGAAAGATCCTGCATGGCCAAGTATGGAGGGCCGTACTGAGGGAGATTCCATTGAGCCCGAGCCTCCCAGCTCACACCCGGACTCACTGGGGTGGCGATGACAGGGCCCCCTTTGGTTGAGCTCCACGTTTATAAATAGCTGGAGGGCCAGCCTCCTTCACTGGGGTGTGGAAGCATAACTAGGGTAATTGATGATCCACCCTCTTTGCTTGTGTTCTTAATTTCAGCGGGAAGCCTGGTTTACCTGCTCCGTTTTACTTTCTCAGGTTTGACAAACAGGGTTATATAAACTTTTGCATTTTATAGATTGCAGAGGATTTACGTAGAGCCATTTAGGTTGAATGCTTGATTTCAGTGCTGGTAGGGACTATTCAAACTCATCTTTAGGTTATTCAAATGTTGGAGCAGCACTTTTTCCCTTTGAGTAATGGAGATGACTTTTCCCAGTATAGCAGCCACCAGGTTAGTAAGTAAAACAGTTAAATGTTAAAATGAGATGGCCTAATTGAAAAAATCTCATAGTTAAAAACACTGAACTGTGAGTTTTTTTAAGTCATTTGGTAATTTTTTCCCTTAAGAAATGTTTGGCCATACTTATTTGTATAAGATACCCACCTGTTCATGCTGCTAAATGATGTAGATATACAAAATATAGAACTGTTATGTAAGATAGGAACTCTTCTCCAGTTTCTGGATTAATCCTTCAACTTAGACATTTCGTCTGCACGGAAATCTTTGCACTTGTTTTGTTGTGTGGCCAGGACAGAAATTTCTTAGGTCATGTGATGATTTGGTTTACATTTGGAATGTGGGGATCATAAAGAGCATCAGGAGTCATCATAGCATACCTGAGTCTGTAGTGTGGCTCTCTGCGTATCCGGAAACTAGCCAAGAACCAGGAAGGGGGCAAAAAGTCCACTCGCAACCAGAGTAGATAGTATGAAAGTCCAAGAGAATATTTCAGGCCCTCTCTCAGTACTTACTTTTATTCTAGACACAATCCTAACATTTAAAAAATTTGACAAATAATCCATAGTGTATTGGGGGTAACACTTTTAGAATGGGGTGAGGGGCTGCTGTAATCGGTAGTAAAAGGTGACCCCTGACAGCCTGACAACTAGGAAAAAGACAGAAAAACTGTAACTTTAGGCAAGAATTGGAGCAGAAACTTTGAAAGTTTGGGAATATTAGAGTAGGAACCCTCCATTGACCTTGCAGGCACCACTCTATAATAACATAAACCAGTAATTGCTATTTACTGTTGTTAACAGTGAACTATGAAAAGAATACATTTTTAGACACACTCTTTAAGAAGAGAAGGAAATGTTAAATATACTTTGGAAATATTTACACCCAGAATAATTAACCTCCGAGCTGTTTTCATGTGCAAGGCTCTTACCAATTCAGAAAACTAGGCTGTGCAGAATGACTCATTCATTGGATGGCTGAGATTTCCTGTACCGAAGTCATCTTGTATCACTTTATTTTGTAATCATCAATTAAAAAACCCTCACATTTCATCTAGTGTTTAGAGATTTTAAAACTTGGTGAATGGGAACCAAATTCATATCTGGGACTCGATCTCAGTATAATAAAGAAAAAAATAAATAGTGAGATATCCTGCACATTAAACATGATTCATTTGAGATCCACGGGATGTAATTTGGTGCTTTCATTCTTTTAAATTTACTGAGAATCTAGTGATTTACTGGTTCATCCTTTGCCTCAGGCTCATGGTCATTGGAGATTCTGAGAAAATAATTGAATTGATCCCTATGGATTTATTTGTGGGTGTGTTTTTCTTTTAACAGATACAGTCATGATCAGCTCTCTCGTACAGTCTTGTTTCCAGAATCCTTATAACCTTAGATAAGTCTCTTCAGCTACTGCCCCAGTTGAACATTGAGACTTCTGGCCAGTCTCAATTCCGGGACTAGCAGGTCATTTGATACCTACAAGTGGCAAAAATGCAACCCACTGACTTTACCTGAAGTTTCCAAAAGAAAAATAGGTTTTGTGGCATTATTTATTTATGGCTTTTGTCACTTGGACTTGAAATATATTTTTCATAGAGATTTATAAGTTAATTCACAAAAACGTAACCCACAAAATATACACGATTTGTGTATGTTTGTGGTAAGTAAATGGCAATAAATTCCTATACTTATAGTTAAATACAAGAGAAAAGAGTATCCAAAATCGTGATGTTTGAGACAAAAAAAAAAAAAAAAATTGTGGAGATGGAAGACTACCTCTCAGAATGTACTTACTCTTATTCTAGACACAATTCTAACTTTAAAAAAAATTTAATCACAGTGTATTGGGTGTAACACATTTAGAATGGGATGAGGGGCTGTCAATTTCACCCCATATTTGTGTAAACTTGCTGTCATTAGAGGGTAGGTATGTTGGTTCCATGATTTTTATGGTTTTGGTTTCTGTAGTACAAGTATGCCATCCTGTACCCTGCGTTACTTTTTTTTTTTTTTTTGAGATGGTAATCTCACTCTGTTGCCCAGGCTGGAGTGCAGTGGCACGATCTCGGCTCCCTGCAAGCTGCAAGCTCCGCCTCCCGGGTTCACGCCATTCTCCTGCCTCATCCTCCCGAGTAGGTGGGACTACAGGCGCCTGCCACCACGCCTAATTTTTGTATTTTTAGTAGAGATGGGGTTTCACCGTGTTAGCCAGGATGGTCTTGATCTCCTGACCTCGTAATCCGCCCGCCTCGGCCTCCCAAAGTGCTGGGATTACAGGCGTGAGCTACCGCACCTGGCCCCTGTGTTACTTTTTAAGGTTACAAATGGAATAAAAAGAAAACAGCAGAAGTTCACCGTGTTAGCCAGGATGGTCTTGATCTCCTGACCTGGTAATCCGCCCGCCTCGGCCTCCGAAAGTGCTGGGATTATAGGCGTGAGCCACCGCGCCTGGCCCCTGCGTTACTTTTTAAGGTTACAAATGGAATAAAAAGAAAACAGCAGAAGTTGTTTTCCTGATGATATGGATAAGATCTTGTTTGTAGTTTTTTCATTCATGTATTCATTCAACAAACATTTTCTGACTGACTGCCTGCTATTTTCCTGAACCAGTGTTATACAATGGAAATACAAAAGTAACTTACTCTAGTCCAGTGCCTAGTACATGATAGATATTCTCAGTGTGGGGTAAATGACTAATATAAAATCATAGGTGCTGAAGCATAGATATGGGGATAAAAAGTACCAGGAGAGGCATACCGGGAACATTGTGAACCTAGTTGCTTATTGCCTGGGGAGTCAGGGAAGACCTCCCTGAGGAGGAGATACGTTTGAGCTGAGTCCTGAGAGGTGAATAGGAGATGGTTCGATATATTAATGTAAAAAGGATTGTAAAGAGGGGGCAAGAAGGTATCTCCCATGCAGAATATAGTGTTATCCCCTTTAATGTATGGGCCTACATGCATGATCCTCTGAGAGGCATGAGTGGAAGAGCCAGTTTAGTTCAGACAGTTTCCATTTTGGCCACATGGTGGCATTATCTTCTGAGGGCAGCTTGGTTGCTGTGTGCATTGGCATATGCAGGGGAAGGAAGGATGGAAATAGAGAAAAAAGTATTCTCCAGGTGGCCACTTACTTATAGCCGTAGGAGGGCATAAGTTGTAGCAGATTTTTAGAGTATAGATTTTTAAATCAGCCTGGGCTAGTTAAATAATTTCTAAGCCTCAGTTTTCTTATCTGAGAAATGGTGATTATAAAACCTTGTTATTGTCCGAAAGTTACT